CACAGAGGGCCTCAGTATACAATGACGCTGCAAAAATGTTTTCATTCTTTAACAAAATTAGAAGCGACGGAAGAAGAGATTGGTAAAGGAGTTAGTGCTTTATGCCAAACATATCTCGAAGACGTGAAAATGAATCTTGTAGGAGAAGTCAAGCATTTTTATCGGTATGTTAGACATAGTCAAGCCTATGTCTAACATACTGATGTAACTATGTCATGATACGTGTGATGAAACATGATAGTCTGACACATCGGGATCTGTATAAGGTAATATTTAACGATCGTGTCCAATCAGCATTCCCTAATGCAGAAATAATTTTGAGATTGTTTCTTAGTATGATGGTTGCAAATTGCTCTGGAGAAAGATCTTTTTATCAGCTGAAGAGGATACGGAATAAATTTAGAACAACGACTCAAGATAAATTATGTTCCCTCAGTCTCTTGTATATAGAAAGTGACATAGTACGCAGTTTATCATTTGAGATGTCATCAGTGACTTTGCTCCGGCAAAGGCAAGAAATAAAAAAATTATTTTAATATAATTCCTTAATCCGTGTGTCATGGTTTAAGTGATTGGATAATAAGCCTTTGTAAATTCTACCTTTTAAAAGAACTTTTGCTTCTTCTTACCAGAGTTTGCATTTTTAAGTTTGCTATGAATAAAAATGATTTTAAGTTAAAATACTTATTATTTCACTATCTATATACTTCTTAATTGTATTTCAGTTTAACTCTCTAGGTATCCGAAAATCGTATTTGGCATTGACATATAACATCCGGACTTATAAAGAGCTCCATATCTCAGATAGCTTAGGGCCTTACAATATCAAGTCTAAATCTGGTTCTGTTCTTACGTGTGTAGATAGGGCTGCCCGTGGTAACCCTGACCTAAACCGTGCAACTTAAATGGATGTGAAGCAATAATATGCAATAATTAGTAACGTTCTACAAAATCTTTCATAGTCTGCAGTAGACTGATAATTTATAGTCTGCAGTAATCAGAAGAAAGAGAGGGAGGAAAGAACTCCCTGGTGGAATTCGGAACTGGATAAAATTAAGATGACAAGTAAGAGCGGCACGTAAAAGGACACAAATAAAAGGATTTGAGAGATGATATCAAGATTGTGTGAAAAATCGAATATAAAAGAAACCTATCAAAATATAAAAAACTGATCAAGCGTACGAGGAAAGAATATAAAAATTATCTGTTTATGAGAGTGAGTGCACCGCTATGATGGCTTCCGACCACGGACATGAACCAAACGGAATTATATACCATCACGGCAGGGAAGGATCCAAAGTAACAAGGTTGAATATTCATACTAATAACAGTTTTTACAGTTTGATAACTGCAGGCACTCTGCTTATGAGAGATGTGAATTATTATGATGAATTCTTTAGAGCTGCCACCGCTAAAATGAAAAAGAAAATTATTATTGAGAAAGCGAAGCCCCGACGGCGTCTATTGACAACAATTACAAACAAATTATCAAGATACTTTATATCTTAAGGATTATAATGAGGATATAAATGAAGAAATTAGTATGAAGGAGGGTGAAAAGAAGAAAGACTGCTTTATGATGAAATACTGATTGCAATGAAAAGTCTACGGATAAGGTCTACTGTGTTGGATGGGATCGGAGCCACATTGTTGAAGATATTGTTTGAGGATTGTCCTTTCTTTTTCATAGTGTTAAACAATAGATGCTTGAAGTTGGGGATATGTCCAGATGTATGGAAATTTGGAAAATTAATCTTGATTCCAAAGGATAAAGGAGGATTTCGTCCAATTTGCCTACCTGAAAACATTTGCAAAAGTTTATGATAAACTTTTAGTTAATAGACTGCAATATTGTTTAAATAAGAATAATATTCTTTCTGAAAGGCAATTTGGTTTTTAGAAAGGGAAGGTCAACCGAACTGGCTCTTTATAGAGTCATATCTGGCATTAGAGAGAAAAGAAAGATTAAGCATGTGGCTCTCTGGTTTCATTTGACTCCAGGGGTGCCTTCGATAATGTAAGGTGGCTCTCCCTGATGCGATACTTGAAGAATAGTGGAATTATTAAGAATATGTATGAAATTATAAAATGTTACTTTAAAAGGCTGTAATGTTGCGCGCTTCCAACCTGCACGCAACAATAGTGGTGACTGCTAACAACTGGAAAGTAGACAAATTCTTGAGAAGGGTTTAAATCCCTTTTTTATTCAACTTTAGAAATTACAATGCGTGCTCTTGACGCTCGCAAACTACGCCGACCCGGCGGTAAAATAAAAATAAAAAACTAAAAAAGAATAATAACAAGTGACTAACTACGAGGCTCTCTATACGTAACTAACCTCACCGCGTTCTAAGATACCGCTGATAATTCAGCAAACTTCTGAATATTACGTTGAAAATTTAACTATCTACTGAGCAGCACACAGGCCGAAACGCGTGGTTCTTCAATTTCTAACTAGCCACCTCCACGCTCGTGCAGCAAGAAAGCACACTTTCGAACTCGTTTCCCTTCTATTTAACTCAGATTACTTCCGCTGACAATTTGAATCTTTGCGCGTTCTACTAAATTTACATACTCTGGCATTGGCAATTCCAGGGGAAGGTAAGGCTTGACAGGAAAGATAGTTTAAACTTAAAATAAATGTTAGTTAAAATAAATATAAACCCTACAAGGCAAAAGATGATTTTTAAGGGCCCATCTGATAATCTGATTTTGACATTTACAAAGGATGCCCTCAAGGCTCTTGCAGCGCTCCTCTGTTCTGGGGCCTCATTGTTAATGACTTACTGCAGAAAGTCAATATTTTGAACTGTGAGATTGTCTGTTATGCCGACGATATATTGGTTATGGTGGAAGGAGACTCCTTTGAAAAAATGGAGAAAGTATTTATAAAAGGAGAAAATGATTTAAAAGAGTGGAGTGACAGAGAGAAAATATATTTTAATAATGAAAAAACTTGCGGACTTTTCCCCCTCGGGGTGGGAGAAAGACTAGACCACCCCAAATTGAAATTTAAGGCTAATCGTATCAAATTTGGTAAAAATATGAAATATCTGGGAATTGTTACTGATAGCAAATTGAGTTTTGCGAAACATTTTAAGCATAACATAGAATCACAAATAACATTTTAAAATGTTATAAGTATAATTTTTTTATGCTGATCTTTGAATGAAAAGAGTTACACCCTGAGAGGATATAAAATGTGATCATCCCAAATTTTATGGAGTCGGGGCTTGGGGCTGCAGGACAAAGGAAGTACTTAGGATTAGAATGAAACTGGACACCCTGCAGAGAGGCTGGATGCTTGCCATTAGAAGAACCTTCAGAACCGTTTCAACTGAAGTTGCCTTCGTCCTTGGAGGTGTTTCGCCCCTCTCGATTCAATACAAATTTTACTACAAAAAGTTTCTAATAGCTAATAAAATTATTATAGATACTGAAATTGGACAAAAGGTACTCACAAGTAAGGCCTTTCAACAAGAGAGTGTGAGGATATTACTCACCCAATGACACGATTTGGATTATTTTATGATCTTGAGTTTCTTACTGGTGGCGAAACAGACGTTTCTACAGATGGTCCTTGAATGGATAGGGGAGTGGGTAGCGCTGTGGTAGTTTTGTTTCATGGAGTGGAAATAGACAATGTGAGATTAAAACTTAAACCAATAAATTCGGTTTATTAAGCAGAACTATACGCATTGTTAGAGGCTTTGAATTTGGATTAATAAAAAATTAACAGTTCGATGTTTTATAAATATTTTTATTGATGCCCTATCTGCGCTTTAGGCACTCGCCCAACTAGATCTTAAAAATCAACTAATTAATGAAATAAAAGACTTGTTTAAAAAGGCTGAAAGAAAACATATTGTTAAATTGCACTGGGTGAAAGCACACAGTGGAATTGTCGGAAATAAAAGAGCGGACACCCTTGTTATTGGTGGCACTTGGGGATGGGACCAATAATTTTGATATCCAACATTAAAAAAAACATTGCTGAAATGGAAAACTGGATTTATACAGAATGGAATTTTCGCTGAGAGTCGTCTAAAAAGAAAAAAAGAGTTAATGAAAAATATATAGTTCTATTGTATAGTTATATACAATAGAAGATGAATATTATAAATAATGGTGATATAAATCAGGTTTTGACTAATCATGGGCGTTTCCCGGCTTATTTTAACCGGCTCCATCTACAGAATAATGATTAAATGCTTAAATTGTGATAAGTTTGGGGACGCCAGGCACTTTGTCGATGAATGTACGCTAACCCGGAGTGCAAGAGAGAAATATAGAAAGAATTTTAAGGAAGATTTTAAAAGGAACTATTCAAATTTGAAAGACCTTGCGGAGACAATAATGAAGATTATAAATGCGAACAAAGATAGAGTTGAAATTCGGCACTGAGAATCAGATTTTGGACTTTATGTGTTCCCCCCTGCTTATATATATATATATAAGCATATATATATTTGTCTGGCCAGTACCATTTTTTGATCATACTGCCGTCTTGTGCCGGCTAGGAGGATCGGGGCTGTGCCCTTATAATAATAATAATAGTCTGCAGCGGTAAATATAATAATTTGTTTAAGTAAATGTTACCAAGAATGGTAGCATTTGTGCGATTTCCTAATTATGTTAAACGATGTCTTCAGAAATGGAATGTATAACAACTTTAGTTTATAAAAAAGTCATTTAAGAAGCAAAGACGTTATAACCACTTAAAAACAGAGAGTGATTTATCAGACACTGCATTTATTGATCCTCATGACAATAATTGTGACAAAGTGATAAGTATATTGATAAGTACTCTTTTATTTTGGTTTAAATGCAAAAACCTCACATGGTCTTTTCTTGATAAGAGCAGCTTTATCACGGGAATGAGATATGATTTTGATCATCAAAATCAAGTCTGTCTCAACAATTAATTAGATAGGCATTTGGAAACGTGAGTAAACTATTTTTTATATTTTGATTGTAAACTTTCATTTTTAGGTGCATATTTGGGCTTGTCTAGATTAGGAGTTTTTAATGTCAGGTAAAAGAATTTAGCTCTGAAAATACATTGCATTCTTGTTCGTGGAGAAGCGGCGATTTTTCAAAATTTCCTTTCTGAGAGTAGCGTCAAAACAGAATATTACTGAGTATGCTAAAATGCTATGTCATATTTGTTTTAGTTTTATTTATGCAAATAAGATGTATTATTCAACACATTCGTATGCAGAATTAGTGTAAAATAAATAAATAAGCAAAACATTGATTATATAGAATATATAGAAACCAGATTAATTAAAGAGATGTAAATATCTTAAAATTAAAGAGATGTAATTGATTATATAGAATATATAGAAACTAGATTAATTAAAGAGATGTAAATATCTTCTATGTGTATAATACTACTTGAAAAGTTACAACAGTTGCTTTAGGTAGATGCTGTGGTTGTTAATTTTAAATTAAGAATGACAAGTCTGAGAATCTTTCAAAGAGGAATATATTAGTTGTTTTCATCTAAATGATGAGAATTTTTATTTTGGCCTGGTTGGCTATCCGATATTTTTGCTTCCCTTAACGGAGCTAGGATTTCCCTTAACGGAGCCACTAAAAAATTTTTGGAGAGTTACCTAACGCTACCATCAATTCCCTTTGCCATTGTGCGAAATATAATTTAATATATCTTGCATAGTTCCAAAGTTCGCCAGTTCAGACATCGTCGGTTTTTAGAAACGCTAAAATTCGGCAAAACATAACATCTTAAATTGTTTTTCAGTTTAATATCGGTCTGTAACTGTTTATAGAATGAGCAATGTAACTGGAGGGGGGGGGAACATTTCTTCAAAAATGTTAATCTTTATTTTATTTTTTAACAATAAAATACTTTTAAATACATTTATTACTCAAAATGTCTAAATCATAATTTTCATTAATATTTTCAGCATTTTTTTAATTAATAAAGCATGTTTCTGATACCATGTTGCGGTAAATGCCCTATGAAACTCTTAGTAAAATAGTGAATTGAGTCAGTTGGTCAGCTTCAGTGTCGTTTTGCTCAGTGCGGCCAAAAGTTAACGTTCAACTTTTGTACACCGAAACTTTTGTCTTTCTGCACTCTGTCCGAATGGCTTGTTTTTGTGCACTAATTGTTATTCTAACTGCCAAAAATGCTTTTTTTTAACTGTATTTGGTGTTGCAGGCTTTTTTGTATTTTACAGTTTTTAATGAAGTTGTTTTAAGTTTTTATATATTTTTACCTTGCCGCGGAGTGAGAACTGAATTGATTGAGAAATATACCTCTAATTAAATTCGAGGAAATAAGTTTAAATGAAGTGCAATAAAAATATATATATAGTTTAATTGGCCGTACAAGGAAGTCGTGGTGTCCACATCAGATAGTTTTATTTTGTTAAAAAAGACATGAAGGTGCTAAATTGATCCGCCCATTAGATAATTAGGTAAAAATCAGTCTAAGTTGATTAACAGGTCAAAAATAACATATTTGCGGAGGTAATATTTATAATCTGTATTTACTAAATGGCAATGTAAGATGCCATTGATCATGGACAGATTATTGGACTGTAGTATTGAACAACTGCTTCTCCATTTCGATTCCCAAACTTAAATCTCTGCATATCTATGTACAGTAGAATCTTACAGTGTGATTAAGACATTCAGTCCCCGTTAATCACAAAACAGATTTTTCCTTCTTTGACCTAGATTTCCAAATCCTTAATAGATAACGGAAAAAGAAACTATATTAGTATTAAAAAGTGCATTCAGTTTTCTACATGACATATCACATTTTTCTAATACATTGCGTAGCATTTCGTTACAACGATGTTAAACAGTATTACGAAAAAGAGCCCCTTCTCAAAGTACTTACAGTTGTCGGGAAATATTTTTTTACTATTTTTTCTCATAATCCATTTTATAATATTGCTTTCAACATTTTTTTTTTTTCGTTTTGAGTACTTCATTATTAGTTAAGGTAAGGACCTATATTCTTATCTATATCAGCCGTTTAAGAATTAGATTTTATTGCAACACCTCTAATTTTATTTTGAGCGGTTTATTTACATTAAACAACTATTGTTATGGTGAAAGCTGCTGAACATCCCATTTTCACCGCTGTTACTTAGATAAGGGAGTGAAGAAACGCGGCAATAATAGGTCGTATACCAAATGAATTAATTTAAATGCAGGCGGAGTACGAAAAGTGTTTGCGCGTTTGATGATGTGTTGTGTCTTATTTTTTAAGGAAACTATGCTTAAAAAATAAAGAAAGTTACTTTTTAACCGATTTGTTGTATGTCTTCGTGAAACGCTATTGCAACAGCTCAGTAATCTTAACTAGTGTGATGAAAGTTTTCTGCAGTTGAATGTGTAATATAAGATGGACATTTTAATTTGCACAAACCGTGTGGTTTACAGAAAAAAAAAATCTGATCTAGACACACATGACTTCCTTTTACAACTTATTAAGTTATACGCATTTTTCATTTCATTTAAACTTATTTCCTCGAATTTCATTAGAGATACAGTTCTCATTCGTTAAATTCAGACTGTCTTCGCGGCAAGGCAAAAATACATAAAAACGCGGAACATCTGCATTAAAGACTGTAAAATATAGAAAAACATAAAATACCAAATACAGAGCAAAATTAAGCAATTCGACTAGCGGGAAAGAAGGCAGATTCTTCGGTGCACAAAGTTGAAAGTTTACTTTTTGTCCCATTCGGCAAAAAGATACTGAACGTGCAGAAACTGACTTAATTCACTATTCTACTAAGAATTTCAAATATAAACAAATGACGGCCTCTTCAGGCTTAGTACTACTTAAACAACTTTTAAATTGCTGATAAATCTACAACTATTACATGCAGATTAGTTAGAGGCGTAAAATCTTTAACCAGAACATAAGTTTAACAACATAACAACGATCACTTATAAAGGAAAAACATGCATTTGTATACGTATTTGAAGTTTAATTTTACTAGTACTCCTTTTAGGTTGTGACTGGGAAAAAATTGGTTGGGGTTTTCTTAGGGAAGGGAAGAATTTTTTAATCAATCATTTTAGTTCCGACTTTTCCTTTTCATTCTATTAATTTTATTGTATATATATATATGTGATGTACCAGCTTTTGTCAGGAATAAATAGATTTTGAAAATCATAATGTAGTCATAGCTTAAATATCAGACGTAAGTTTAAAAAACAGGATCCATTTATTATTGGTCAGGAGAAATAGCAGTTACAAAATCAGATATCCTGAGTAAATAAAAAGAACTACTAATATATTTGTATGAAGTTTACTGCACCGTGACATTAAGAAAAGGCCGATATTCTTTTGCGAGTCCTTTTATAGCCTCTGGAAAGCGGAGCTCCAAGAAATAACGTCAGCCTCGTCAGCCAATCCAGTTCGCTTTAAATATTTCCGAACATTCTATAACTGTACGTGTAGGAAAGGCGGGAAAAATAACTTGACTACGGGGCTGTGGATTAAATTCCACGTACTTTCAAATAAGAGACCGTCGCCATTAAACATGAAAAGAACATACAGTTAGAATTTTAAGTGTATTCATAATTTTATTATTACATACATACATACATATATATATATATGCGCACGTAATGAGCACGATCGTAAACTAGCAAATTTTAATTCGTAACAACAACGTGGCTGAAAGTCAGAACACGCTCTCTCTGACTGAACTAGCTCAGACTTCAGCTTAAATAATAGTTTCTCCCCTAATTTGCATAAAGCGTAAAACTGAATACTCATTCCGTCAGGAAAGCGTAAATAGGAAAATGAGAAGGTATAGGAAAAGCTGTTTTAAAATAACTAAATTTTCTTCACGTTGAAACAAAGGAGAATGAAAAGCTAATTCTTTTTTATAAAAATCAAAATTACGAGATAGTATGAAGTTGATAAAAATAAAACAATTGGTTTGCTATGAAAGTTGTAAAAATGCATATATAAAAGTGACTTTTTTACTTAATTTTTTTGGTTAGTTTAATACTATATTATAGACTTCGATTTAAAGTCGTTTGCGAGTCTTAATGTGCAGATGCAACCACTATTATTTAAACACGGAAATTACATGCCTTTTCTCTACATTTATTTAAAATGTTACTTACTTAATCATGTGTGCTCTTATGATATTGATACCTGAAAGCATTAAAAATACCACTAACAAAAAATGAAATGAAATTTTCTTATTAATGTGATTCGACATTTAATTAATTTATATAATAAAATGGAGTTTTTTTTCCAGATTATCATGGCAAACACACTTTTCTTTTTCGCTGTTCTGACTGCCGTGGTCCTACCATTTTTTAATTCATTTGCGAAATTTGTCACTGAAGATTCTTCATGGGCTCCTGATTGCCCTGAAGAAAAAGGAAAGATTCCTCGAATGCTTCCCCATCCTAAAGATTGCAGACGTTTGTTTATTTGTTACAAAGAGGTAGCAAAGCAATACTTCTGTCCCAAAGATCAAGTTTTTAGCGTAGAGGATCAAGAATGTAAGAAAGAAGGAAGTTGTAGTAAAGGTTTGTTTTTTTTATCCTTCTGAACATAACAGAATGAATGGAAATAGTATTATAGCGTTCCACGGGTTCGTAGATTTGGAGCGATTGACAACAACACTCGGTGAAGAATCAAAACACGATTCATTCGTCATTTACACAGGAGAGTTCTAAAGACATGTTCGTCGAAAAATTATGATAAACATGCTGAAACAATCAGCAACACAGCCTTTAGGCTACAACGGTGAAGACAGCTTCACGGCAAAGCACTAAAGTACAGCTTCCGACTCGGTCGATCGCTCTCGAGCTAATCTCCGAACTCAAGACACTACTGCGGAACTCAACATATTCTCAATCTACTCTTCACTATACACTGCTACTTCGCGCACAGGCAGGGTATACATAGCTTCTGACCTGCCTTCGAGAACATTCTCGAAAAAATCGGTAAGAATTTGTTCTAGAATGTTCTCGATCCGTCTATGGCATGTCAACAATTTTGTCGCCAAATGGGTGATTTCGCTCTAAATCTGGCGCCCCTGCCTTTCCTTGCCATTTTCTGGCAGCCCTAAATCCGCTTTGCGAGGAAACTATCTTACCGCAGCTGGACATTTCGTAACAATATTGTAAGGCTTGAACTCCAGCGTTCGACGAATTTTTATCCGATATTTTTAGACATTCTATTTGAAGATTTTTAAAAGTATTTTCTAAAAACTTTGAAAAATCACCTCAGCAAATTTGAAAATCTGTTTTTTTTTTTTTTTTCCAATTTTACTAAAGATATTAAAATGTTGTGCAAGGTTATATGTATGAAATTCAAACGTTAAACATAATATAACTCATAAATAAAAATATGAAACAACAATAGGTAATTATTAAAAAAATTTTAATAGTATGTGAGAATTACTTTTAAGTTTTACTAACAGTTAAATTTCAATTAATGTCTATCATATAATTCTGCGGTCACAATATTCGCTCAGACCAGAAGGTTTATGCAAATCTAATGGTAAGCATCATAGTTTAAAAGCAGGAGGTTAATGTTAACGTAACCCCCTTTACATAGAGAAATTAACAAGAAATTGAACAAGCCATCAAATAACGGTATTATACTTAAAACAGCAACAACTTATTAACGTGCTTAACAGAATAATATTAATTCTTACGTATTGCTTACGAATTCCTACCAAATTCTGAAGGAACTGACGACTTTTTATTTAATAAATAGTCAGTATTCGACCCGCTTTTTTTCTTTTTTTTATGGAAGCTGTATGAACTCTCAAACATTTTAACACACAGCAGCAACAAAATTTGCTTTGGCGTATTCAGGCATGTAAAGTTTTTTTCCACTCGATTCAGTGGCTGCCGTTAAGAGCACTCACGCGATCCAATGTTATGGAATCACGCGAAAGAAGCATTATTAATCTGAAGACTATCTTTACGTAGATCTTCAGTTTTAGGAAAATAGTGATTAACATTGCTAAATGTCAACTTATTATGTTGAATACGAAATTTTGATTGCTGTCAGCAGAAATCAAGAATTCTCCGATAAGTGGAAAAATTTCTAGATCTTTCTGTCTCACGTGGCCATCTCAAAGAGCCAGTTCTTTTTTGATTGCCTCCATTTTATTTCTAAGTGTAAAGATATTCGTACGATATCCCTGAAGTAAAATATTAAGTTCGCTAACAAGACCAAATATGTCGGCCATGTGCTCAAGCTTAAGCCAATCATTCCTCTTCCAACAAATTATCTACTGGGTTAGGTTTTCGCTGTAGTGGGAATTGCGTCGCTTTAAAAAGGCGTATAAGAACCACTTCTCTCGATAACCACCTCAGTTCTGTATACAGTAAAATATGTTGTTGGTTTGAGTCCATAATCTCACACAAAATCTTAAATAGTCTGTAATTCGTAGCTTCACGACAAATTTCGTTAATTATATTTACCGCATCATTCATCACTGTATTTAATTCAGAGGAAAGCTTCTTTGCTGTTAGGTGTTCCCTGTGGATCGTGCAATGAATGAACAAAACGTCTGGGTGCTCAACTAGTTTTACTTTTGTAACTACTCTGATGGCCAGGCATACAAGCAGCTCCATCTGTACAAATCTAACGCATTTACTTAGTCTGAGCCTGAGCTTGAGAATACGCATTAAGGTTATTAATATCTCTGAACTGGTCGTCCATCAGATAAGTTAAGGCAAGACAGAAGTTCTTCCCTAAGTCCATAACTATATTCTACGAAGAAAAGTAAGAAAGCATAGTTACTCACGTCAGTTTATTCACAAAGTTGAATTGCAAAACATTTTGATTCCTTTATCATCTCTATAACTTGCATTTCTATGTCGATAGTCATGTGAGCAATTCTTCTCATTATACTGTTATTCGAAAGCTGTATAGGTTCTTGTTTTTTAGTTTCTTGAAGGCCTAAAATTTATTGTATGACATCTAAGAGCGAGACTTTACTAACTCATGATTGGGCATGATTTTTTTCTTGTTTTAGATATTCGAAGACAACTAAATAAGATGCATAAAGCAGAGATTAGTCTATAGTCGTCGTCGTTTTTATGTAATGCTTTTAAGATTACATCTGGTTACGTAATCCTACAAAAAATGCCCAGCGGGTTATATGTGTAGTCTCTATGCTTCGTATGAAAATGGCAACTCAGTTTGGGTGGGTTCATAACATCATTTGGAAGAATTTCGTGGCACACAACACGCAGAGTTCTTGGCGACTTCACTGCCAGGGGCTACAACGAAACTAAGCTTTAAATGATCTTTATCATGATGACTATCAACGACTGCTTTTTGATTTCTGTCGTGCATGCTAAAATATCGACATATTTTCTTTTCTTTTCTTTCTTCTAAACTTACATCACTAGTACCTGACATACTTTTGAGTTAGCACTAACTTTCTGTGGAATATTATCCTTGTCTCTAACTACATTAAAGAACGTTAAAAGATTTTGCTGTTTGACCCTGCTTTTTCCTGTTCTGATGGTTTCAAATTTTATCGATAAATTTGCTTAGCACGGAAGCAGAAATAAGTACATACGTGCGCGATTCGCCAAAGCTTAACTAGTTTTGGTCAAAGAGAAATAGACGGCTCGAAACTCAGACTCATTAGCTTTTCGCAACACGTGTACTTTGCCTACATAGCTGTCATGTGTAGCGCTCAGACTTCTTCTAATATGATAGTAGCGCAGTAGTGTGATTCATTTGAAAGAACTCTTGAATCGAGAACATGTAAAATATCTAAAACTATGTCAAATTAGGATTAGGAACTTAATACGTTCTTTTTTCTGGTGTAACACCTTGTTTTTGTATTTAGGTTTATATTTGTGGAAAGCAATTGAAAGATTTAAATAGCCTTAGAAAGGACATTAAAATTTTTAATTTTTCGCGGACCGGTAGCAAAGTCTGTCAGACCGGCGCCGGTAGCGGTAAAATTGCTAAACACTGGTAGTTCTGACTTGGTTTCTATTCTAAGCAAATGGGCTGGCTGTATGGTGTTTTCGTGATTTTCCCCATGTGTAACGTGTATACGAGCCAGTTTCCCTTAGAAAGTCCTCCACGGAGGCATCTCTTCCCTTAGGTAGATAACCCTAATGTGCTTTGTTATAATCAACTAAACCGGACCGGTGCCAATTCGAGGACCAATGGTTAGGACACACGTTTTTTAGACTAACTCTGTATTAAAAGCCAATAAATATCCGATAGTTGTATTTGGATTATAATATTTACGGTGGTACCAGCCTGAAACGGGTATTGTATACGATTAAGCATTATCCTCTCTATTGAACTGTCTTTCTGTACTGTATATGTTGCATTAAAATGATTAGATTTTCATGTTAATTAATTAATTTTAGATTATACAAAGTTTACTGAATTCGATTCTTGTCCTTGCCCAAGCGGAGCCTTTGCAGTTCATTTGCCACATCCAACGGATTGCACCATGTATTATATATGTGATCACTGCTTTGCATATCTTAGAAAATGTCCCGACGATTTACACTTCAATCCTGGTTTGGAAGTTTGTGATTTTCCTTACAGAGCAAACTGCAAAGCCCGTAAGTTTTTGCTTTTATTTCTTTTACAATATGAAAACTGTTACCGAATATTACCCTAGATTTTGCAGGGCGAGTATTTAGGCACTCTAATGCATACTTATTTGTGATTAGGTAAAGTAAGGAACCTATCTAGAAGCTTACATTTATAAGGTATTTTTTCCGCCTTCTTAGCATGGCTTCGTGTTATAATGGTCAGCTGCAAATTTTAATGACTATACCCGTAGAGGTATTGTAGAGTTTGCATTAATTCTGGAATTTATAGTTTGTAGATCAATCTTGTATAGTTAACTGAATTTTGCAGCTAGAATGACTTAATTTCCGTATTTTCAAGAGCTGCTCTTTTAAGCCTATTTTCTCATTCATCAGGTGAATTGTTAAGCATCGTTGATTGAAAAATCTAGCTTCTGATAATGTACAATCAATAATTCTTTCGCATTATGCGCTTCCGTATGTGAATTCATAGAAACTAGACAGCTTCAAAGCTCTGTAAGGAACCACCTTTTTACTGTCCGGCTTTATTGCTGCTTTAGAATTGGTAATTTCTCTAAATTTATATTAGAAGTACCGCGACGGGGCTTGTTCCATTGGGTACATCCAGTTTATAGGCAGAGGACTTAAGTTATATAATTTAGAATAGTTCATTTCGAAATATTCTACTAATGATCGAGCGGATGACAGAAATTGGTAGTTCAGTCCGGATGTAGCTCAGCGAACGAATGGCAGCGTGAATGTCTTCATTCTTTGTACCATGTATATTATCAGGTTCAATGTTTCTTCTAACCTTCTTCGGAAACATACAATGACCTGACTAGAACAGAGAGCTTACTAAAGCTATGTTCACTAATTGTAGTAAGTAGACAGGATACAGACGAAGGGTATACAAAACCCTTTATTTTTTTTTCTTTATATACAATGACTTCCGTACTTCGGAATACAATGACCCTCCACTCGGGGTCTAACTTAAAAGATATCAAAATAAAACTAAACTCTAATTTAACTTTAGAATAAGATTGGCCTTATAATAACAGGAAGCGTATGTAGCACAGAGACTGTGAACACTACAATACGTTTAATTTATCAAGAGGATTAAAACCTCTGGCCTGGAAGGCAAAGTAGCAACTGCGTAACTTCTAAGGTAAGCGGCCTGCTTCGAACTCACGGCTTCCTCTCTTCTGCTTGGCAAAAAGGCCACACTTAAATACTTGGCGTTCGCCAGACAAACTTTGCATAAACTCCTTCACGCTTATAATTCTGGCCGGAAGTAGAAAATAAGAAGTGATAGTAAAGATTTAAAATAAAATAAACGTTAGTAAAACTTAAGATCCTTACATACTTCCCGCCAGAGTTAATTAGTTTGAAACTGAGGTCTAAAACGACCTTGTTGAAAACTTTTAGCTCTAGAAACTAACGCGAGGCCAAACTTTTACAAACATAACTTAGCTAGAAACTAGAAAATTTTAAAAGAAAGAAATTTGTTACAATAGCAGCTCCCGGAATATACAACAATCTTTTTTCTTTTTCATCTGTACTGCATCAAAACAGGAGCTTTATTCAATTCTGGTTCCTTCCAGAGATCTGGAAGGAAAACTAGTTTAATGAAATGTTACAGAATGACATTGCAAATAACATATAGAATATACTTTTCTTAACATTCTTATTTCATTCATGACTATTTTAATTATCTCTCCCCGTGCTCTCTGACATGTGTTGTAAAAAACACCAAACACGAATGTGTTTCTGTCTATGTGTTCAACACTTCCTCCTACAATCAAAACACTAACGTGTTAAAATTCAACATACGAGACCTCTTAACACACCCTAATTTCAACTCTAGACCCTGAGGTACTATTCTGAAAGTGGCTAACTCTAAAGTGTAGCGTCAGAGAGCCTAACTACATCATTCAACCTTTAACACACATATTCACCATGATTTAATCTTTACAGTCACACGAATAACAAATTTTTTTAACATTACTTTCACTTTTACCATATCACGGTATTTCTTAAACATTCAAAATAACAGTTCACATGTATACAAGAACATATCAAGATGCCGTTAATTTTACACATTTGAAAACATACATTAGTAGTACATTGTTAACTTCTATTCTTTTCAAAGCAAGTGCCAATTCTTTCTACATTGAAATAATACTACATTTCAAAAAGTCTTTCAGACTAAAACTTCTTTCTTGTTAGAATGTTTTAAATAAAATTTATACAATAACTTTTTACAATATTTAAGTCTTTATACACAACGCTATTATACATCAACTTTAGTTTTACGCGCGCGAGTAATTGAAAAACATAATAAGAAAATCGGTCACAACTCATTTCTCGCCCTTTTGGCGATAAAGGTAGACCTCGCATGAGGTAAAACTTCTTGAAATCTGCCACTTGCAGTAAGAATGAAAGAAAGATTAACTTAAGTTTGTAAAGTAACATAAAATTTTACTTATCTTTGTAATATTCAGACATCCTTTTCTGGGCCCAGTCTTTAAAGGTGCTGCAGACCGTAGCTTGGTTGATCCTCCTTCTTGTACGGGCTCGCCCTTCAGTGCTTTCCTCTGGAAGCTTCCGTTTTTCACCACTACGGCCACCCTTGAACATCTTCCTTCTGTCCTCTGCTTGTGGTCTTGGCCGTTTGAAGGCAGCTGGTCTTGGTGGAACCGGGAAACTTCTGTCGTGATCCTGCTTGGACCTCGTTGTTGGCCGTTCAAATTTTTCTTGTACTTTTTCCTCCGCCGCTGATGGCCCTTCCGCAGTTCGGCGACTTTTGCTGCGGAGAGTTCTGTCGGATGAGTCAATCTTCCGTTTTCACAGCCGGGTTATAGTTGCCGTCCTTTCTCCCGGTCTTTTCCACATACGTCGTCCTTCTCCCTTCTTCATTCTGGGGGTGTTCGTGAACTCTGTTTTTTGGACGGTGGAACGGCTTCTTTTTCTTTGTACCTTCAATTTTTCCGCGGGGCAATTTTCTTTTCACTTGCTTCTGTCTCTCATTGGCTTGCCCTTGTACTTGTCGTTTTCCCACCTCTGGAACTTGTACCTGCGGTGTCTGCCGTACCGGATCCTGCAAAAGATCTGAAAAGATTTGCATTTTATTACGGTCATAGAAGTAGGGTTTTATTTGGATCAATGTTTGTTTGCGGAACAGGTTTCACCATTTCTTGCCTTTAACACTACAACAGCGTGAGTTATTTTTTCTATAACATATGGTCCTTCAAAGCGTGGAAAAAATTTGGCAGTTTTATCTTCTGGTGCTGAAGAAAGTGAATGCTTAATTTTTAGTACTTCATCCCCTACTTTATAAGTTACTCCCCGTCGTTTCAAGTCATAATACAATTTTTGTTTTCTTTGTGCTACTTCCGTATTCTTTTTTGCTTCTTTTATTAGTTTTTCTATATCACCCATTTTAAATTCTGGGGCTCTTTGTTGCACATAAAATAGTTTATCTAACGGTGTTATAATCTTTCTGCCTAGAAATAACTCAGCAGGAGTTTTTGCCCGTTGTATCATGTTTTGCGGTCCTAAGGGCGAAAGCAAATTCATTGACATAGTTATCCCAGCTTTTATGAAAATTTTTAACATAACTACGGATAATTTTCACTATATTTCTGTTGACCCGTTCCGCTATATTTGATTGCGGCCGATACGGGACCATTTTTAAATGACGTATGCCCAGTTTTTGGCACATGTCTTCAAATATATTACTTACAAATTGAGGACCATTATCCGATATAACTTTTAGGGGCGCCCCGTATTTTAAAATATATTTATTTAAAATAGAATCGGTAACTAATTTCGCGGAGGCTCGTTTTAAGGGAACAATTTCGGTCCATTTACTAAAATGATCAACTATAACAAGGAGATAGCGACTTTTGTTTAACTGACTTTTTGGGAAAGGGCCCAATAAATCGATGCCGATTATTTCATTTGGAAATTCGGATTTAATACTATTTAGAAACCCGGCCGGGCGGAAATTAATATAATTAACGGCTTGACATGTTGGGCAGGACTGGACATACGCCCTTGTTAACTTTTGCAGTTCAGGAAAGTAGACTGCCTCGCGTACGCGTTGAGTAGTTTTTCGAATACCAGCATGAGAAGCTAAAGGGCTGTCATGGAGCTCTTGCAGGATATTTAATCTAAGACTAGCTGGGATAACAGGTCGAAATTCGTTGTTGGAATTCGTAGTTTTTGTATAAAATAATAGACCATCTATTAGTTCGTAATGGGCCGCCCTATTTCTTATCGCCACAATATCTTGGTGGCTAAAATTTTCAGGATCCTTCAAATACTCATAAATACTTCCAAACTCAGGATCCTTACCCAGTTCGGTTATTACAGTTTCTCGGGAATTTATTGTACACGCTGTCAGCATTGCAACTTTTACGGTATTACCCTGTTCGTCTAATTTAATTCGTGACAGGGCATCTGCTACGATATTTTCCTTTCCGGGGGTATGCTTGATTACCAGATTATATTCTTGCAGCTTGAGTGCCCATCTTATTAACCTTGGGGATAAATTTTTCCAGAGTACAATCTAGTTACCGCCGCATGATCAGAATATACTGTTATCGGCGCCTTTCCAAAATAGACTCGGAACTTTTGCACTGCTAACAGAACTGCAAGTGCCTCTCTCTCTCGGTCGCGGAATAGTTTCTTTGTGTTTGATTTAAAGTTCGGCTAAAAAATGCTACTGGCTGCTGATTTTGCGAAAGTACCGCTCCTACCGCATAATCCGAAGCATCCGCTGAAATTTCTAAATTTTCATCCTTTTCAGGAAATTTCAACACAGGGGCTTGCGTTAATGCTTGTTTTAATTTTTCGAAAGCACTATTGGCTTCGGCCGTCCACGAGAATCTTGCCTTTTTCCTTTTTAATTTTAACAATGGCTCAGCGATAGCCGCAAAATCTTTTATAAAGGACCTATAATATGAACAAAGTCCTAGAAAAGAAGAGAGCTTCTTTGCCGTGTTTGGAGTCGGATACTTTTGTACAGC